ATTTAAAATTTATATGTATGGATAGAAAATTCAGTTATATTACAAAATAATATCTCTCAAAGACAGAAATTCAGATAGGCCCCAATAGGGGACGCATACACATGCTAGAGTGTGGCGATCCGAGCCCGACGGGTCCCGACAGGTCGGCGGGTTTGGTCAAAAATGTAGCTATAAATTGTATTCGGGCTCGGGTCGGATTCGGTCAGCTTTCAGTGAAAATGTAGTGTAAAAATAAATAAAATCCTATTGTCTGTCCTGTTTATTGCTTGGGCGCTGTCATTTACGTGACAACACCTGAACATAACACACACAGACACACATTGGCTGTTTGTTTCTATCTCTCTCCTCTCTGGAAGTATCGGACCTCCAGCCGCCAGGCTCCGCCTTGATTAAACGCTGAAAATAAAATAAAAGAGGGAGACAGGTTTTTCCTATTTTATCTTATTTTGTTTTATTTCTCCCTCTCCTCTCGCTGGAAGCGTCGGACCTCCCGCCTCCCGCTCCCGTCTCAAACACGGAGGTCTCCCTCAGCTGAGCACCCACGGCGCACGCCCGGCCTGTTAAATAGCCTGTAACCACTGTGTGACACAAAGTCAGTGCTTTGGTCATTAAATAATGTCAGGTTCGGCTCGGGTTCGGACAGAAATATGCGGCCCGTACCGCACTCTAACACACACACACACACACACACACACACACACACACACACAAACACAAAGAAAACCGGACATTATCATCAGTTTATAAAAACCCCCCGGACGCCCCGGACGGGACGTGAAAAGTGGACATGTCCGGGCAAAAGAGGACGTTTGGTCAGCCTATGATATGGACTTGAAAATCAGTTTCAGAGTGGGGGTGGTTTCGAACGGCAGTGTTTCGAAATGGCGGTGTTTTGGAATGGAGGGTTGTCCCCCTCGTCTAGCTAACATTTAGCCGTGTTACTTACCGATCCATTGGAAAGAAAGCTAGCTGGACATCAGTTTTGAAGCCTCTTTGGTCACAGAGCTCCCTCCATCTCTTGAACGCCTGACTGAGCTTTACTCTTCTTTTTCCTCTTCTTTTATCACTCTCCTTTTTGCTCTTCTTTGCCTCCTCAGACAGAGGAGCTCGTTTTGTTTTGCTAGGCCCTTTTTCACTTGTCTCCAAACTTTGTCCGTCTGCCATTGTGCTCTTGACTCAGCTATCTCATGCCCAACTCCTCATAAGGACCCTCTCCAGTCCCTGATTGGCTGACCGACCAATTTCGCAATACATGACGCGTTTCCTGCCGTAAAACAGATTTTTTCCGCCAAATTTCGGCACCAGTGGCAGAAGCTTATTACAAAGATTGCAAAGCCACTAAGTAATTTATGTAAACGCTGATAGTCTGATTTTACTGTGGCCACTACCCTGTGCAACCCACATTATTTTCATAATGATATATATTAGGAAAATATGCTATCTGTTGCCTCTTTAAATGCAGGGGTGTCAAACTCAGTTTAGTTCATGGGCCACACACAGCATTGTCTGATCTCCAGTGGACCAGACCAGTAACACCATTACATAATAACCCACAAATAACATCACCTCTCAATGTTTCCCTTTCTTTTAGTGTAAAGAAGTACATTATGAAAATGTTCATCTATTTACAAAACAGATCATGCACAGTCTGAGATATCTTAGGAAAAATAAGAGAAATTTTAACAATATGTTTTCCACATTCAGTCAGTTTACCACTTACTGTCAGTACATATGCACAGTTTTGTCCAGGGAAGAGCAGAGAGGACATTGACCGGCTGACTGATGGTGGTTTGAGTAAGAATTTATTAAACAAAACGTAACTTTTAAATCTTGAAGATTTATTTGTCACCAGTTTCTGAAGTAAATTTTTCAATATTTTATTCATGATTATGACTTACACATTTTTCTGAAAGCGACAATAGCTGCCTTGACAATTAATTAGTTGTAAGTGACTGAAAAGTTGAACATACATGGATGCCTCACGTCAGCTAAAGATTTCTTGTTATGATGTCACCACGTTTGCAGAGCTTGGCTTGGTAAGGACAGTGTCTTCATAATAAACAGAAGCAGAGGTATGGAAATAAAACACAAGTTCTAATAAACCATAGTTTTCCTTTAAAATAATCTTTATTTTATAGTAGACAAACATGTTTCTATGATAACCAATTCTAAGTCTGTTCTCATTCCAAAGTCGTCAAAAACTGCTGCTCTGTCAGTAAAATCGGCATCAGACAGCAACGGCAAAAGCCACCTTTCAAAGCGGTACGATATGCTGCCAGGCAGCATCAATTTGTAACGCAGCCAGATATAACCTTTGGTGGTGTTATGGTGTGCCACTGGTTGACTAGATGGCACCTTTCGTGGCAATATGATCTGCTGCTGGACAGCATCACTTTGAAACGCTGCTGGTGAGGACTTCATATAAACAGCTAGAGTCGTTACAGAGCAGGCAGGAGGGGGTGGTGGATGGCTCCAACAAACCGTATGAATGTAGATTCATTTTAAAACCACAGCCATGATTCTGTCCTTTGGTTCAGTCAAAAATGTAATCACCAATTTGATCAAGGGGACAAAGCAGTATTAAAATATTTCCATACAGAGTTCTGTAAGAACATCCTGCATGTCCAGTGAAAGATAGCAAACAGTGCCTATAATGCTGAACTTGGCCAATACCCCCAATATTGAAAATGTAAAAAAAAAAAATTAAATTTTACAATCACCTAAAAACAAGACCCCCAGTTGTACCATCACACAGCCCTAACCTGTCAGGAGCTGCAACTGAAGCAGAGCCCCCTTAGTCAGCAGGTCGTGAGGGTCTGTGCTGACAACTTTACATAACCTGGACGGCCACAGCTCCGCAACATCAGCTCAATCAAACCAAACCAAAGCATTTTTTTAAATTATAAACCTAACCATGTGCTGAGCAGAGACAGAGGAGGATACCTAGCACATAATATGTAGATGTGAAAGGCCACTGACAAAGCAGCAATATGTGACTACTTGGGGTGAGAATGTCTTGGCCCACCTTGTTGCACCATATGTTGTGTGTGTTAATGCCTGGTAAGTGATGCAATACATATATCATTTTGAATAAATAGTACATTTAAAGAAAAAAAAAAATCTGCCCGCATTAATTATTTTTGCCTGATAAATAAAACTCAAGAGCTGTCGTACTAGAGACCTGCTGCTCATGCTGTGAGGCTGCACCTTATCATAAACACAGTTATACTACACTGCACAACCATATCATTTCAAAAAGTATTTAAAAGGTTTCGAGAGATTTTTCAGTTGACTAGTGTATGCCTGACATCACTATGAAACATTCCTTTTCACTCAGAACTGATTCTCATTCTCGCCTTGTGTTTTCTATCCAAAATCCACACACATATTTTCAGCATAAACACTTCTGACTGTCACCACCAAGCTGAACAAGGTACTTCCATGTGTGAAATTTAAAAAACAAACAAACAAACAAACAAACAAAAAAGGTTCAAATCACCTATAATGTTTAGGCCCTAAATTTGGGTTTGGGTTGAATAATTTTAATGATAAAAGAAAAAGTTAACAAAATTATGGCAAAAGCTGTATTACATTTTCTAAAGAACATGTTCAGGCTGATTTTTTATATGAAGGACAACTCATCTGTAAAGTTCTATTGGGTATCACGCTATCCTGCAGAAGTGCAAAATGGATGTATCCAAGCAAAATGAGTCTGGCTGGAGTCTTTGAAGCACTCAGAGTCATGGCTCTTCCGAGCTTCTGTTCTGGGTCACCTCTCGTTTGTGATAATAACAGATGTGCCAATGTAATGTGGCATCTCTCTATGGCTCTCAGGCGATGAGCCTGAGCTGGGACTCTGGCTGTTACAGCTGTAAGAGGCTGTTTCTTTACCATGGTAAATGTGGCCATCTGGTATATGGCTCAGTGTGGCTAAAGGGGTGGCTTTAATAGGATTGTGTTTGCCCCAGACTTTATGAAAATTCAAAGACATGTATGGAGATTGGGCTGGAAGTCCTACCCCAACACCCATACCTATCAACATTCTCCGGTCCTCCTCAGCAGACCTGGGCTGCAGCTCTGCAGCTGCCCCATGCTGCTGGCGACCATCAGTCGGTTGTGGATATCCTGCAGCTGGGTGACTGTAGGGAGCCTCCATCAAACACAGCCTTCTCTTCTGCTCTAGTGCCATGTGCACAGGGAGAGGCTGGCCTGCACTGTGCAGCGAGCCACCTTGATCACCTTTACCCAGTACAAGGCCACTGAGCAAAGGGCAGGCAAGGGCCCGGTCACTTCGAGGGCCCTCAGTACCTCTTGTATAATGTTGGACATCCTGGCCAAAAGGCTTATTCTCCTTGGTGGCATGAAGACGAGGGTATGGACGAACCTCAGACACCTCCCTGTGGACAAGTGTGTAATGTTCGTAGGGTTCTTCCTTCAGCTTGTTGGTAGAGGGTGGGTTTGTGCTGCTGGAAGAATCATAGTAGATCTCATCAGGGTACCTCCGGTCAGCTGTCAACACAGGGCCTGATGAGAAAAACACAATATTCAGAAGCTAAAATTACATCAGAACTTCTGCTGACAGACAGAGGAGGCAGGAGACATATTTTAAATCAAATGTCAGTGTGTCAGTGAATCTGGTCTGAAGATATTTGATACATTCTGTAGGTTGTGCCATGATGTCAAAGTCCATGTACATTTCCCTGTCCACCTAAAACATATTAACCAGTGACACACATTATTCTCTGTGTTGAGGCCTTACACATTCACATTGATAAAGCATTCCACCTCTGAAAATAAAGCTTTTTGTAAACGCTCTCCTAAGCAGACAAATCTGAAAACCACAGTCACATATTTTATATGGACATATGTGGATCTACAAAATGTGCTAAACCTTTTTTAAATGTTTCCAATTTACTTCCTCTTAGCAGCAGTGTTTAGTTGCTAGCTTTTTGTTGCTGTGAGTGGTGATGTACCACATCTTTAAAACCAGTGCTTGGATTTTGTTGATTGAAACGTCAATTTTTCGTCAACAACCTTTTTTCCGCGACAAAAATAAGATGATGACAAACTAAAAATAGATCTTGATAATAAAAACTAGGACGAAATCTATGCTTCATTTTTGCTGACGAGACAAGATGTGATGAAAATGTTACTGGTGAACTATCGGACGTTGAAAGCCAAGAACAGCTGTGCTTGTGATTGTCTTCAAATGCTGCATGAGCAATAGGCTGGAAAACTTAAGTAAATTGTCGTTGCCAGGATGTTTCTCTAGTTGCTGAATGGCAGTAAAGCATGCAGCCAATTTTTGTCAACTAAATCTATGAATGATAAAAATTTGACTGAAACTAATAACCATTTTCATCTCAAGACTAAGACTTAATCTAAAATAGCTGTCAGAATTAACACTGTTTATCAATCAATCAATCAATCAATTTTATTTATAAAGCCCAATATCACAAATCTCAATTTGCCTCACAGGGCTTTACAGCATACGACATCCCTCTGTCCTTATGAACCTCACAGCAGATAAGGAAAAACTCCCCCAAAAAAACCCTTTAACGGGAAAAAAAACGGTAGAGACCTCAGGAAGAGCAACTAAGGAGGGATCCCTCTTCCAGGACGGACAGACATGCAATAGATGTCGTACAGAACAGATCAGCATAATAAATTAACAGTAATCCGTATGACACAATGAGACAGAGAGAGAGAGAGAGAGAGAGAGAGAGAGAGAGAGAGA